CACTCTGCCAACAAATAATGTCCTCTCAAATCATACATGAAGAACGCAGCCAGTTTAAACAGGGACCTCATTGTTTTACTTGAAGAAGAACACGCGCAGTAAAACAGTGGCGTCATTTTTTACTGAAGAACGATCAGCAGTTAAACACAGTAGCTCATTTTTTTACTTGAAGAACACAGCAGTTTAAACAGTGACTCATTTTTTTACTTGAATAACACAGCAGTTTAAACAGGGCTCAAGTACGTGAAGAACACAGCAGTTTAACAGAAGTAGGCTCATGTTTTACATGCAGACACAGCAATAGTTTATCTTTTTATTTAACCCAGAGTTTGAGTGTATCAGTTCACTGGAGGGCCACGAGAATGAGGTGAAGAGTGCCAGTTTCTCTCCGTCTGGCTCGTACCTGGCCACCTGCAGTCGAGACAAGAGTGTCTGGATATGGGAAGGTATACTGGGTTGGCTAATGCTCTACAGTGGGTATTGGAGGAGATGCAGCACGCACTCCAGTCTAAGTCATTGTAACTTACATTTAAGGCCACGCCCTGCGCAGGTATTATAATTTATACACACAAGAATCTTAACCGTTCCAGGCCTCTCTATTATCACCCACTTTTTGGTGTGTGTCTATGATGACCAATCCTTGATCTTACTGTGGGGGCTACGGTACCTGTGTGAGTGCCCTGTACCACACAGGCGTGACCTATGTAGCTACACTTCACCATCTGTGTATTAGTACCTCTGTGTAATACAATCCCATTGGCAGAGTCTGAAACTCTCTGAGCAAAAACACTCGATGTGTGAAACTTGTTGCATCTACTGCCCCTTTCATCAACAACCTCCCTCCCTCCCTCCCTCCCTCCCTCTCTCCCTCCCTCCCTATCCAGTGGTGGAAGAGGGGGAGGAGTATGAGTGTGCCAGTGTCCTCCACCATCACACACAGGATGTCAAGAAGGTAGTGTGGCATCCACACCAAGAGGTGAGGAGACACCTATGACGTAGTCTCCCAGACCCCACTCTCAAAGAGAGTACCCTTCACTATTCTGCAGCAAACAAGAAGTCTTTAATCTGGCAATTTGATTAGTTTCCGAAAGCTCTGACTCAAATTTAACTAAGAAAATAGGGGGGGAATGCTTAGAGGTAATTTAAGCAGGAGACACCAAAAAATAAAGTACAGGGGAAACCCACAATGAGATAAACATGATAATGGTAGGCAGACCTTCCTATATATAGGCCCCCTTCTCTTTCTTTTTCACTCCCCTTTGTCCTCTCTAAGAGTGTGCTGTTTAATTCTCATGTGGGTGCATGTGAGGGTCTGAGACTGTCGTAACTGGGTGTGTGCCACAAGGATAATCAATGTCTTGCCATGGCCTCTGTATTGCTCTGTGGTCATTGTTTCCTTTGCAGTGTCATATGTAATGCATTCTGATACTCTGGGTCAGGGGGTCAGGGTCACAACCGCAGTATGCCTGGGTTTTATATGGGCCAGGAAGACTTAGGACACCCTGCGTGTGTATACTTAATGTCAGCCGCAATTCCTTTTGTCAAGAAGGTAGTGTGGCATCCACACCAAGAGGTGAGGAGACACCTATGACGTAGTCTCCCAGACCCCACTCTCAAAAGAGAGTACCCTTCACTATTCTGCAGCAAACAAGAAGTCTTTAATCTGGCAATTTGATTAGTTTCCGAAAGCTCTTACTCAAATTTAACTAAGAAAATAGGGGAGGGATGCTTAGAGTATTAAGCAAGAGACACCAAAAATAAAGTAATGGGGAACCCCACAATGAGATAAACATGATAATGGTAGGCAGACCCTCCTATATATAGGCCCCCTTCTCTTTCTTTTTCACTCCCCTTTGTCCTCTCTAAGAGTGTGCTGTTTAATTCTCATGTGGGTGCATGTGAGGTCTGAGACTGTCGTAACTGGGTGTGTGCCACAAGGATAATCAATGTCTTGCCATGGCCTCTGTATTGCTCTGTGGTCATTGTTTCCTTTGCAGTGTCATATGTAATGCATTCTGATACTCTGGGTCAGGGGGTCAGGTCACAACCGCAGTATGCCTGGGTTTTATATGGGCCAGGAAGACTTAGGACACCCTGCGTGTGTATACTTAATGTCAGCCGCAATTCCTTTTGCTGTAATAGTACACGACCCTTTACGTGAACTACAACTTATCACACACACACACACAACACACACACGGTGTAGTTGCTGGCATCAGCTAGTTACGATGACACTATCAAGATGTACAGGGAAGATGACGATGATTGGTAGGTGGCATACTCTAATGATTAACAACACAAAAAGTTGGCCATTTTGCAAAAGCACAACCAAATTTTCTGTTGTGATTGCATTAATGTGTTGTTAGGCATTCCTGTATATATACTTTCTTGAAACTAAGACAAATTTTAAAGTAAGGCCCAATTTTCACTAACTACTTGAGTGAGTGTGTGGTGGTGATGTATAGGATATGCTGTGGCAGTTTGGAAGGCCACCAGTCGACAGTGTGGTCCATTGACTTTGACGCATCTGGAGATAGACTAGGTATGATGTAATTATAAGCCAGCCCTCACACTATGGTATGCAACAGTAGTAGACTCATGTTCGTGCACTCCGCCATACTTACGACTGTAGCATAGAAAAAACACCCTGGTAGCTCAGTTGGTGGAGTGCTCTGCCTAGACTGCAGTGTCCGTGGGTTCGAATACCACCCAGGGCAGCCCTTTTTTTGGGTAATTTTTCGCTTTTCCTGCATTAGAGTAACCAAGTGTTCTTGCGCCAGTTACACTAACAAACTCCCACCAGTATCCACTGCATCTGTCTCATTCTCTCTATACAGTTTCCTGCAGTGCTGATAAGACGTCAAAATCTGGAGAAACTGCAAATCTGGTAGGTATTTTCATAGAACATACAACCCCCTCCCTCCTTGTGCCTGTATGTATAAGAAAGTTGAAAACACGGATGTGTATATATATGTGTACACCACAGGAGGTGGTGGTGCCGGGGACGAGAATGTGTGGAGGTGTGTGTGTACTCTGAGTGGTTACCATCAGAGAGATGTGTACGATGTCAGCTGGTGAGACACACACACACACACACACACACACACACACACTCCCCTGATGACCAGTAACAAAGAGCCTAGCCCTGCACCTGCATGTTGCTGGACTTGTGGATAGGTTTACATGTACATTTAAGCACCTGGCTGGCTGCATGCGGTGACGCCGACAAAAGCCACCCACCCTCTCTCGTTAGCTTTAGTCCTTTACCTCTCTCTCTTCTTTCCCAAATCACAAATGGAGCAACTTGTTCTCCATGTGGACCATATACACATTGATGTAGCACTCTGCGTAGCTAACTTAGAGTTAGCAAAAAAACCTTTTCGAGGTGTTTCTCCAGGTTGCACAATGCATCCAGGTACATATATGGCAGTCAGAACGAAAATGAGTCACTTTTGATGCATTTAAGACAGTATAGGACAGTTACCGCCTGTATAATGTGAACGTATAATATATACATCTTTCCACAGGTCTAAGTGTTCTGGTTTGCTCGCTACAGCCTGTGGTGACAACGTACTGAGGATATTCAAAGAAGTGAGTACAAATTATACCAACACCTCACACCTTCTCCATACAATAGCTACAGTTACTTTACTGTGTTCTAAGTCTTAAACAGATGACCTAATTGAAACTACTCTTCTATCTGTATATGCAGGCTCCCTCGCAAGATGTACTCCAACCCAACTTTGACTTGATTTGGGAAGAGAAGGTTGACTAATACAACTTTGTTGCAAATGTCTCATGCAACTTTAATGTATGAGTACAGAGTTATAAATGGTCCATGAGGAACAAGTTGCATGAAGATAAAAGTAATTGAGTGCAGCATGCTGCACAGGCCCATCATACCCTCACATTGAAGTTCCCTGTGAGACTCTGTACAAATTCTTAGTGTAAGCCCTGCCTGGGAGCATATGGACTTGTACGATTACCACACTTTTATTACATACATAGGTCCAATCACACTGACTTGCCCGTTCTAGGCCGCATAAACGACTGCCACATTTTAGGGGCAAATTGATATTATAAACCAGGGTGTTGTCTTGGAGATGGGCCACGGTAATAAGATAGAGCAAGATCCAACAGTTGTCTGATACATCGGTGTATGCCTGGTTGCAGGCCCATTCGTCGGATGTGAACTGTGTCAGCTGGCACCCTTCAGACCCCAGCCTGCTGGCTACCTGCTCTGATGACTCCTGCGTACGAATCTGGAGACTTACCACAAGCTAACCCATCTCTCCTAACTACACACACTATTGCTCTGACTCACTTTGACCATTTTGCAGACGTGGTGATAAATTTTGTCTAAAATTCCACTCAATAGCCGATTTCAAAACCTGTGTGTTGTGCTAAGTGTGAGTTACACTGATGGAAATACTCCACTAGATGTGTGCTAACGTCGTCCGATATCTGTGGGTGTGGTCTCCCTTTGGCCCCGCCCATACACTGGGTGTCCGACCCACTCTTGAAACAGTAGAACCCTTTCTTCTTGTCGAAGACAAAGTTTTCTTCACTGAAGAAAGGCTCCAGTCCCATGCACAACTCTAACATGTGGACTTGTTGAAACGGGTGCTCTACATAAGCATCCCCGTTCACGTAGCACATCTGATTCTGGCTAAACGTCTTCAGCCAAGAGGCTATGTGGTACTCGTAGCAACTGGCGTTGATAAACGGTTGCTCGGTATGCAGGACGCCGTCTTTGAGCACCATCTCGTCAAACGGAGGTAGTTTGGGAGAATTGAATTTTCTTCTCTGTATGTTCCACTCTAGATATTCCGACATTGCCCTATCGATTGGGTTTCTTGTGATGACTATAAACTTCAGGTCTTCTGGTTTTCTCCCAGCCAGCTCTGCAGCTGCAGTGATCCGTGCTGGTACCTTTGGCCGGAGGATATAGTCTGGACTTTTCTCGATGAGATAGCCTCCTCGAGGCCTCGGTGGAAACGACGAGAGATACTTGGAGAGTCCTTTCCCGTACTTGAGGGAGAAGAACCGCTCCTCTTTCTGAGGTCCTGCCAGCTGAGGGTGTAGCCTCAGGGCATTGTAGAGCGCTCTCGTGCCGGATTTCCCGAATCCAACGATCATGAAGTGAGGGAACCTTTCCTTGAGTGTCTCTGGCAGGCCCACCTGGAGATTGTCTGGTGTACTCCGCGACGGCTGTGAAATAGCAGTGGTGGTGTTTGCACGGGAAGAGACAATCAGGTTGGAATTAGGGAGCCTCCCAATTTTGTCCCGCAGCTGGTGGAGAAGGCGAGAGGGAGTTCCTCTGACTTCTCTCTCTACCAACAGACTGAACGGGTGGCCCGCCTCTTCTCCCTCACTAGCCGGCCGAGTCCTGTAGAGCAGTGCATAGCCGGAGAGCAGGAGAGAGAAGGTCCCCAGGCAGGCCAGAGAGTAGACGAAACGCCTCTTCGACAAAAACCGTGCCATCGACTTGTCTTTTGGAGCTCCAGCGAAGGATATTTGGTGCAATACGCGACTTGTGCAGTATAGCAGTTTATGTTACGGAACGAGTTGCCTGGCTGCAGTGGAGGTAGCGAGGAATTCTCCAGAGAGTTCAATGTCTCATGCGGCTGCAGCGCAGCAGCTTCGCGCATGCGCGTAATTGCCACCTTTTGCGCATGCGTAATAATGGAAATGCAAAATATCAATGTCATCAATGTCACATTTTGCTCTTCATTGCATCAGCCAGGAATCTGGAGATGATGACTCGTTGTATCTGCGATGTGCCCTCGTATATCTGCAACAGCAAGTGAAATTTCAAATTACTCGTATAGCTACATTATGTACCTGAAAGATCTTTGCATCTCGCATCAGCTTCTCAACTGGATACTCTGAGTTGAAGCCAGCTCCACCAAAAATCTAAAGCGTGAAAGTAGTCCATGAAACAAAACTATGTCTATTTGGATACCTATGCAATACGAGTGCATAATATTGGTTTTCCTTTGGGAAGAATTTTGTTATCCATTGTTGAATAACTTGTTACTCGTGTTTTGTATATACAACACTGTCTTTGTTATTTGACGGTTTGTATGGAGTTAGATGCAGCATACTATTACATACAGTAATGCAACACACAACTGCCAACTGACCCCCTACCTGCACGGCATCTGCTGCAGACTTGTTGGCGACATCGGCAGCGAGGGCCTTGGCGAGAGAGGCATAGTAAGTGTTCCTGCGGCCCTGATCTGCCTCCCAGGCCCCTCTGTAGACCAGGAGACGAGATGCCTCTATTCCAATGGCCATGTCTGCCAGCATCTGAGACACTGCCTGGTACTGCAGACAAACAAACAATAGACTCCGCTGACGTATTTTAGCGGGAAACATTCGTGGAAGAAATTATATGGCGGGCTGTTTGAGGAAGAAATCTTTTGCATCTCAATAACTTTCATGGCGAACTGCTGGTCCCGGCACTACAAGATGTCCCTGCCTATATACAAAAAGGTTTGCAGAGAAAACTTCCGCGGGGGAACTAATAAACAGCGAAAAATTTTTATGAACTTTTCTCCACACACACTGCTAACACTCCCCCTTCCTATCTCTTGTCTCTTTTTCTGCAGTTGAATGTAGTACAGGCATAATGTCCTGCCAGCATTAGTACAAAACCACAGACAATCGGGTGTTGTCATCACACATGCCTCTATTATAAAACCCTGTTCATCAACACAACTCTCCTCATGCGTGTTAGAGACACAGATTGTATATATATATACCTGGAAGATGGGTTTGCCAAAGGCATATCTCTCCAGGGCATACTTGGTGGCCTCGTCCATAGCTCTTCTTGCCAGGCCCACTGCTCCCATTGCCACCTTGCCAAACACACAGACACAACTCATCTCCTTCTGAAAGCTGGTCATTGCCTAGCTCACATTACCAGAAAGCTAGCCGTGCCAGTGGTTAAACTCATGTCTGGCATATGTAAGTGTGTATGGTGGACAGTTACACCGACACCCAACAAAAACCTAACTGAGTATGTGTGTCTACATCTGCAGGGCTGGCCCCAGAGCACACCAGGGGGACATACAGTCCCTCTATCTCTTCATTAATGTCCCCCTGAATATGGTTCCCAGGGGACACTTTGACCCCCAAATAGTAGGGTTCCTGCGTTATTGGGACACTCTAAATTTGTTGCTAGAGAGGCTGATTGTCCCCCAGCAATAAATCTCTGGAGCTAGCTCTGCATCTGGGACACAAGTGTATGATACGGCATACAGATGTACAAGTGAAGGAAATTTTCGCACTATGTAGAAAGTGTAGCAGAACTTACAGCAGGTCTAGTCTTGTCAAAGGCTCCCATGGCATAGTAGAACGCCTTCCCTGGTTCACCCAGAACATTCTGCAGTGGGGGGGAACACAGATTGTTCATCACGCCACACTCATAAAAAGAAAAGATGGTGTGCCAATGTCAATATGTAAATGTGGGTAGAATGCAACAGCATAGGCGCAAGCTTCTATATAGTTATTTTTGGCCAAGCCAGTTGATACAGCAATCATGGCAGGGGTCCCTCACAGGGACTAATAAGCGGTGTGATTAAGTATGTACATATGCAAGGGCTAAACTATTAGGGATCAATAATGCCCAGTGCAAGAATGCAATATTTTAATATACTGCCACATTAAATTTAACTCATTGTGTGGCGATGGCTTGTAAAAAAAGCCATCGTATTAATAATTAAGTGCAGTTGGGAAAAAAGAAAACCGTAAATGGCTGGAATGTCAGAGTGTTACATAATCCAACTGCACCTCTTCAGGGACAACTACGTCTTCGAAGGAGAGAGCAGATGTGTTGGATGCCCTTTGACCCATGTTCCACTCCTGCATAACGACAAACAGTTGCTACGAGGTAGAGAGGCAGGAGGAGGACATTCAAGAGTGAAGACTGTCGTAGCTTTGCGTTAAACTAACTTGGTCAAAGGTCCTCACTGCTTTGGCAGAACTTACATACAACTTACTCCATGCATTAACAGCTCGTTGTTGGCTCAGTCTACAACATACATACCATACATACAATTTCAGAGAACGCAAAAAATATCTGTCTTCAGGGGTACACCATTGCATTAGCTACTGCACTTTGGGTTTGCAAGCATTCGCAAGATTCACAGTAACTTTCTTCCCTCAGGTTACCTATGTACGAGGGTTCAACAGTCTATCGCCACATACAGTATTGAATAATACCTTCTTGCCCTTGGTAAGTCCAGGGCTGTCTCCCTCCACCAGGAAGGCGGTGAAGGCACTGCTGGCTGGCTCATTCTCTCTCTCCCGTCCGAGTCAATACGAAGTACCTACACACACCACACACCACATTCATTACACACACCACTGAAGGGATGAGTAGTTCACTTTTTTCACGCAACTTTAAAATCAATCAACTTTATGTCTTTTACGTAAATGTGCTACTCCTAAGATCAAATTAATCTGTGATCATTTTTCTTGTGTATACCCACGACTTATAATAATGGACCCTAAAATAATAATGTGCGGTTCTACTGTTCATTTCTGCTGCACCACTTCACAAACCAAGGGAGGGGGAGGGGGGAGATTGCTACTAATTACAGGGCCTACCAGTAGGCGAGAGAGGGAGGGGAGATATTGCTAGGCAAGTGCTGATTGCTAGCCACCAGACAGCAATGAGAGGAGATTACTATCAAATACAGGGACTACCAGAATAACGGCAAGAGGGAGGAGAGATTGCTACTAATTACAGGGCCCACCAGACAGCAATGAGAGGAGATTACTACCAAATACAGGGACTACCAGAATAACGGCAAGAGGGAGGAGAGATTGCTAATAATTACAGGGCCCACCAGACAGCAATGAGAGGAGGTTACTATCAAATACCTACCAGAATGATGGCAAGAGGGAGGAGAGATTGCTAATAATTACAGGGCCTACCAGACAGCAATGAGAGGAGATTACTATCTAATACAGGGACTACCAGAATGATGGCAAGAGGGAGGAGATATTGCTACTAATTACAGGGCCTACCAGACAGCAATGAGAGGAGATTACTATCAAATACAGGGACTACCAGAATGATGGCAAGAGGGAGGAGAGATTGCTTCTAATTACAGGGCCTACCAGTAGGCGAGAGAGGGAGAGGAGATATTGCTAGGCAAGAGCTGATTGCTACTAATCACAGGGCCTACCAGTTGGCAACTCCTCCGTTGGTGATCCACATCTTCGAGCCATTGATCACCCACTGGGTACAGAGAGCAAGGGAGGCGGTATCACAGAGAGCACCATGCAGTTGGAACCAAAATATGTCACGATTCGGTTGCTCCAAACAGCTATTTTTCTCACCCACAAAATTTTTTACGGATAAAATGGCATACAAACCATGAAATTCATGCAAGCTGTCTAGCAGTAAAGTAGACTATAAGACAGGCTGGGAAGCTCAGTGCAATAATCCCTTCGAAGTGTGACCGCAAAAAGGTGGCGGAACATTTTTCTTACTTTTGGTAAAAAAGTGGAGGGAGAGACTGGCCAATAAGACAAGTAAATCATTGCCTGCACTACAGCTGGAGTGCAGTGCAACTGCACTGCTCTCTTCCACTAAACCTAGTATAACTTACTTCATTGCCCTTTTTGACAGCTCTTGTTTTGATCCCATTCACATCAGAGCCACATCCAGACTCTGTGACTGCATATGCCTATGAGAACAGGAGTTACTAGATACACTGCAAGAGAAACAGTGTATATCTAGCAGGAGAGAGAGGGAGGGAGGGAGAGACAAGACTTACAGCAAGCAGTGGTTCCTCGGTCATTCTCCCGAGAAACCTCTTTTTCTGATCGTGATTTGCAGCCACGTGCACCGGGGCTCCCTGTAGACATACACACAGTCAATGGGTGCAAATGCAGCAACATGCGGGTGCAAAGTTCACTATTTATAATCACTGTGCACTAGTTATTCGTGCCAAGACCTTCACGAGCTCTCCCACCAGAGAGGGCCTGATATTTAACGTTGTACTGAGTGAGCGTGTCAGATATGGGTATGCCAATGAGAATGCAGGATCATGTAAAGGTACATCTAGCTAGAAGTACACTGGGCCAACTTGCCTATACGTGAAGCACATGGTTAGTGAAGTGAGGACTCACAGCTAGCATGTTGGTGGCCAAGGCAGTGGTTATTCCAGTACAGCCATAGGCAGTCTCTTCTGCCACTATCACCTCGTCCAACAGCTGGAGACCAAGTCCACCTAGACAGAGAGAGGAGAGAGAGAGAGAGATGGAGCTATGAGTGAGAGAGGGAGAAAGGTGACTGTCACTGATTAAAGTTTGAGCAGCCACCTCAGTACTCATTACTGCCCTGCTCTTGGAGGGGTAAGCTTGAGATGGATGATTCCATTCCAGTTAAGTGGTTGCCCCACTCTATCACTCGCCATAATAATATTATCCGGGATACAAGTATGTAAAATGTCCTATACGTACTGTGTATATTCACACATGACCAAGTAACAAGTGTGCGTTGGTGTATGTGTGCGTGTGTGTGTGTATGCAACTGACCATACTCCGGAGGAACGGTCACATTCATGAGCCCCAGCTCCCAGGCCTTCCTCACAACGCCCCACGGATACTGCAAGTGTAGTTAGTTAGACGTAAAGTCTACCCAATATTATTAACGACGACAATGTGCCGACATGCAAGCATTACATCTATGGATACATACAAGACAGTGACAATGTTGCTTCTGACACACACAAAAACCTACCATCTGCATGTAGGTCACACTGTCAGGTTTTCCACAATGGAGGCAACATGCTTATACATTGTATATCAAATGCCTTATCTGGCGACTAATACGAAATAAACCTGTGTGCGCCTAACAGTATTAGCATGTCACACACGTAGTGGGCTAGGCCGCAGGTGGGATTCAAATCCTTGCTTAAGAATTCAGCATGCCATCCTATACATACAAGCTTCTATAATGTGTATTGGAAATGTGGACTGCATGCAACTGAACCTCTCCGGTTTTGTCATACTCGGCAGCCACCGGGATGATCTCTTCTTGTGTAAACTTGGCCGCCAGCCTCTGGAACTCTTGCTGCTCTGAAGTCAACTCTGTAGGGAATTGTTACACCCCCATACACTATCATATATACACAGACGAGTAAACAGTCGGAGCAAACAGTTGGAGTAAACACACAGGTCGTGCTGTGAGGCTCCTGGCTAGTCAGGGCTAAATGACCAACACACGTAGCTACACACACACACTCACCAAATCCTATTGCAGAAGCTCTGGGAGTAGTATGGAGCAGCTATCGACAGAAGGCAAATAGTCAAATATCACGAGCCACTGGCTCTAAATGCTGGCTTACCCTAGCAAGGCTGGTCTGCCCCCTCCACAACGAACGTGAAACTCGAGCCCACATCTTCTTCACAAAGTAGAGGCGTTAGGCGGTGTTTTGGGGGAGTGCCCGGGTAAGAAAAGTATGTGTGATCTAGCACGCATGCGCACGTTGTACGTTGAGGTCACGCCTACTAATTGTCTGCACATGCGCAATCCGAGGACCTAGGAGCGAAACTGCAGTTAGTCCGCGTTTCTTTCTACTGCAGTCATGGTGGCTCTGCATTTCTCCTAAAACAAGCGCCATGGTGATGGTGAGAACTAATATTTCCATGGTTGTCTAGTGAACTACGATACACGTGGACTGACATTTGCGTAGCTAGCTGTAGTAGGCAGGCAGGGGTGTCGACAATACAGCGGAAGTTGCATGCTTTGGAGGGTGTAGTAGGGCATAACGTTATGCTTCGCATGATGGCTGCAAAACCTTTCCAAGTGTGATGAGTGTTGCAAAGCAAGATAGCTGGAGGAGAGTAACCTGAGAAGACCTGCATGGAGCTGTAGGTGCAGTTTACATTGTAAAGCAGAGCTTGCAGGTCAATGGCTTGGGTGTTTCAGGCTTCCTGCAAGTTTATTGCAGATCCTGGGTCATTCCTTCACCCTTATGCAAAATCACCCGTCCTCATCATCACCATCACGGTGGTAATATAATACAGGTGCTAACTTTCCATGGGTTCCCCTGCAATATGTGATGTAGGTGGGTGTTTGGAGATATGGTGAGACCAATGTAGCTACCAAGAACAGCGTATATTATAGTGAGAACATTGTTAGCTACCAAGAAATGTCTCACCATACTTGTTAGTTTCATCTCCAACTATAATGGTGTGAGCGATGTAGCTGTAGCTGTAGCTACGTACCTATCATAGACACTATCAAACCCTCTCTCCTCCTACTATATTATTATACAGTTGGAGCATCTTGTACATTCTAGAGTGGCTGTTCAACCACACTTGCCCACTGACTGCTGCTATAGATGTAGTTGAGAACTGAGACTGACACCATCATCATTCAGATACCCAGACATCGTCTTTTCTACATGGTAATGCACCCAATGAGAAGGTTAGTCTGCAACTATGTACTTTGTCACTGTTTTGTTACTTTATCATCGTGTATTAGTATAGCCTGAACACTATCATAGGTATATACCATGGTGGTTGCTCAACCAGCTAGCTGTCATATAAATGCTGGCAAGTGTCAGCCTGTCATTGCTGATGTATGACATACGTAAGCTGCTTCAATACAGGAAAGACAGATAAAGTGGTATGAAAAGTGCATTATCTTGGCCTAAACCTATGCGTCCCCTTGTCTTTGAGGAAAGAGGGTGTGATTTACTGGAAATTACACTGAATTACGGAATTAGGGGAGCCCCATCCGATTGGTCAGTTCTGCCCAATTTTGTGAGTCCTCCTACACTAATTAGTTTACACCACCAAGTATGTTATATGCCTGCTATTGTCCGTTCAAAAGAGTTGGGAACTTGCAGGGAAAGAGGACACGTCTGGACGTGTGATGTAAGAGGTTCAGTACTAGCCAATGAATGGCTGGCTGGCTACCTACCATGCAGTACCGTACAGTACAAAGGTGCCGTAGTGGTAAGTGTCACCACATGGCGCAGAGGGAGCTAGTGCAAAGGCGGCTATCTAAGGGAAGGTTGAAACTCCCGGCCAGCGAGCTGGTGGGTAGCTCCTTCATTGTACCTGCTAATTCTATGGCCAGAAATGTAATTAGTGAAGCAGCCGTGCATTGTTTCTCTAAGCTAGTGTGGTTGCCTGCCTTCTGGCTGGAGAAACTACGGCCATGGGAGTGTGGCTAGCTCAATGGGATAATGGGATGGTTCCTAAAACAACTGGGTAAGTGCTCCCTCTGAGTGCTCCTTGCTAACCGTGTGCTTGCTCCGGCCTGTGGTTCCTGGTCGTGGTGTGTGGATGCTACAGTATGTGTGGATGCTACAGTATGTGCCGTGTGACTGTGATGGAATGGGCTTGTTTGAAGCTGCATATGCTGCTGTGTCAGTGTTCTGTATTGTGTTTCTGGTGCAGCTAGCTGAAGCTGGAAAAGAACCCACCTGAATGGTGGCACATAATTCATGACAAAAAAGTTCTTGCATATCTGAGTGAATAATGTGTTTGGGAGGAGGGGCCGCTAGTGAGTATATATATATTGGAAGTTGAAAAACAGGACGTTATTTCAGAGTTTTTCGCTAGCTTTAGCTGGGCGTAGTATAAACCCTGTCCATACCAGATAGTGGCTGGTTTCCTTGCCTTTGTTTCAGATTAAGAGTTCTGCCTTTACTACATACCTGCTGCTACTGCTTTAACAGACTCTCAGAGTGATAATTTTAGGTTGTGGCGGAGACATTTTTTACAGCTGTTTTTATTTGGTATTGCAGAGTTCCTTTCTATGAGGGTTTGTTTTTCATCACTGTAGGAGATTGTGACAGAGAATTTCTGGAGAGCCTTTTGAATGTTGTACCAGAATGTACAAACTGAAAGAGAGCTTGTTTGCAGATCGCCTTTCAAGAGCCATACCTTGTTACACACAAAACAGGTATTACAGGTTTTGATGTAGTAGTTCTGGCATAGTGTCAGCTAGCTGCTATTGTCTCTGTTAATCCTCTTGAATAGGGGGGAGGGGGGGGGGGAGGGGGAAACTGGTATGATGAAGAGGTAGGGGGAAACTGGTAGGATAAAGGGGTATGGGGAAATTCATTGATGGATATGTGGGCTGAGGGAGGTAAAGATACATGCCTCCCAATGTACAGGCATTATACTTGGATTTCACAGGAGGGGGGGGGGACTATTCTTATCCCATAAAGGTCAGCTGTGCACTATTGCTCCAGTATTAGGCAGGTGGTGCTGGGCCCCTGGGTCTATTATTAGATTAGTGTTGTTGGTGCAGCTAATTGAATTAGCAACCTTCAGTCCACAACATTGTTTTGTGAGAGCCTGATTTGCCTGGACTATGGACTATGGGGTATGTCCTCTGGACTATGTGGCGCTGGTGCTCTCCTTATCTTATGGTAGGCTCCCTCACTGGAATGCCACCTCATGGGAATGTTTTCATTATAATTATGGAGTCTTATCGGGAGACCTAGGATTTGGGTGAAGGAGTTCTGCTCGCTGTCCTTAGATCTGTTCCGCTGCCCTTAGATCTGTGCGAATGCAACCAGCTGTACCATTCAATGCACTAGGTGAAACTCATTGGGCTGATTGGTTTGTGGGTTGGTTGGGCGTTGCTATCTGTGATGGACAGATGGCCTATGGGATGGGATGGGGGGGTTGCGCTATCCGCCATGTTGTGATGGACAGATGGGCAATGGGATGGGGGGTTGCGCTATCCGCCAGACGCCCGATGGTTCGGTAGGGTGGGGTGGATCTGTTGTCATTGTCAGTTGTACACACTACGTATGTATAGGTGTTGGTAGTGGGACGCAGTAGCAGGGGTCCCTCCATTAGCGCCGCGGCTTGTTCCAATCTCACCCAATTTGTCAGGGCCAAATGCACTCTCTCTAAATCCATTGGAGGGTGCTAGGTACGTACAGCATATGCATTAGTCAAGAGTACATACGCACGTACGTATATAGAAGAGGCTTAAACAGTGTGATGGTATTATAACAGTAGAACCTCGGAATAAGGGACACTATGGGGCCAAACTTTAGTTGTCAAGAGGTCCCTATGTCGGAGGTCAAATAATACACTAGAGTATTAGCATGTGGTTGAAACAAGTGTCCTTTGTAAAGAGATCATCCCTATCTCAGAGGGTCCCTTATCGGAGGTTCCACTGTATATATCATAGCCCCATACATCTATGATGCTAGGTACCATGTCAATCCCTATATACTAAGTACTACCGTACTTAGTGATTATATTAGGGGCCTTGGGAACCAGGGAAGCTGGTTTAATTCAGTACTGGGATGGGACTCCTTTTTTCCACCTTCATTCCCCCTGCCCACACAGTAATGCCCCTTGTGGAGGGTGGGACCTCCTCTGGAGAGGTTCCTTAATTGCTTTACATAGCAGAGTGTGGGGGCTTCCTCTAAATTCCTCAGTAATTATAGAGACCGGTGGAAGCCAATGCTAGTAAATTGATCCTCCACAGTTCTGAGTTGCTGTGCAAACCGGATTATTCTTGAAGGAGACCTACCATACCTATTTAGGCATGAAAAACGTTTTACATATTATATAGGTAATGGCCAAATGTTTTTTCACCCACTCAGACAAGTATATACATATACAGCCTTTGGAGAGTCTGGGCTATCTTTTCTAGGGAATTGTTTGTTTGTTTAGCCACGGAATTCCTCCAGGGGAGGAACTCAACCTCAGGGGAGACACTAGTGAGTCAACCCCTCCTATGACACACCATGTGAGGATAAATGGTTGAAGCATTGCCGATGTGTATCTGGGCTTTTTAACGTTTCCACTATAATATGAGCACCAAACTCTTCTTCAAAAGTTCAGGTGTCCATGTGGTAAGACACTTGCTTGCTATTACTATAAACGGCATGTGAGTGGACAGCACATACGTTACACAGACTGTGTGAAAATTTGCGGGTTGAATACAGGTGACTTTGAAGTTTAGTTTGAGGCACTGTGCATATGTAATGCCCATGCGTTCGCCGAAATTTTGCAGGCTAGGTTGCATCTTATGTGTTTACTTGAATGCCACAAGTATTTTGTGTTTGCTAGTTACCCGCCACTTCATTGGACATAAACAAAACTTTTCAGAGCCTTTTTGTTCTGTTCTCTTTATTGTGCGAAGAACAAACAACAGCTATCACTTGATAAGTCTTTTTAAAAATCACTTTTAAGTAGTAATGCAGATGTGGAGTAAAATTTACCGCTGCTAGTGATGTTATTCCCTCTGTAGGAGAAGGCTCAGAAGGAGGAGAGTGCTGAGTTTGCTTACTAGTAAGGTGAATTACCAAACACCATACCTCAATATTATTCATACCGTTATCGCATAATATTGCAGTGCCTTTGTTCTTTTGGGATCTGACCACACAGAGTTGCAGTCTGATAACGTTACTCATGGTGAGTATCATTATACTCCTTTGATGTATTTTGCCTCACTCTGTGGGACTAACATCGTAATCT